CTGCAATGGCCTGGCACAACTACTACTCTCCAAGTTGCTCATCCGCCTATTTAAAACATTAACATCCTACTATAATCCTAATAACAGTGTTCTACATGAAAAGCAGCCAAGTAAAGTGATGAAATAACACACCTAAGCACATAACTCACAAATATTTTCCAAATTTGATAAAGAAAACTTGAAGTTCATGAAAGATGTCAAATTAGCAAACTGGTGCTGTCATAGGATGTATGACAGTCTACTTTATCTAATGATATTAAGACAGCCCACTTTTACCGATTGTGTCCATTCTTTAAGAAAGAAAAAGTGCTCGTATGGGATCATTACGCTGTGCATGAGTGTGTGTGCGTGTGCAAAGCTGTCCCTGTAATAGGCCACTGAGGCTCCCACATGTTTCTAAACAATCAGCTCACAGATGGCAGTGAGGCTGCTGGCCTGAAGTGCTGGCCACCCTTCAGCCCCAGGAAGATTCCTGGTACTCACTTCAGTTAGAGGCTGAGTTGACCCCAGGACCACTGTGCAGTTTGAAGGATTGTTCAATTGAAAAATCCAATGACCTCATGGGGAATTTAACCTGCAAACCTTCCGGCTCACTGCAGAGCATCTGAACCAGCTTTGCTATCACATTTTGGAGGGGGTAATTTTTATGAGATTCAGTATAAATACTATGATACTGGAGGTCACTCAGTTTTTTTAATTTCCTCATTCATTCATGGTGCTGAGCCCTTCTTGAGATGCCACCAAATAACTTTCCCGCATTTTATGAAACCTGCAGGTTTATTACTGTGTTCACAAGAACCCTCCACTGGTCCCTATCCTGAGACACAGCAATCCAATCCATACCATCCCATCCTATGCTTCCAAGAACCATATTAATATTGTTCATCCACCTACATCTTCGTCTTCCTAGTGGTCTATTTCCTTCTGGCTTTCCCACCAATATCCTATATGCATTCCTCTTCTCCCCAATTCGTGCTATATGCCCTGCCCATCCTAACCTCTGTGACTTGACCACTGTAATTATAACTGAAGAAGAGTACAAGTTATGAAGCTCCTCATTATGCAGTTTTCTCCAGCCTCCTGTCACTTCATTTCTCTTCGGTCCAAATATTCTCAACACCCTGTTTTCAAACACCCTCAGTCTATGTTTCTCCCCTACAGTCAGAGACCAGGTTTCAAACCCATACAGAACCATAGGCAAAATTATAGTTTTGTACGTTCTAACGTTTATGTTTTTAAACAGAAGACGAGAAGACAAAAGGTTGTGGCCTGAATGGTATCAAGCCATACCCGAATTCAATATCCTCTTAATTTCCTGTTGAATAAGGTTTTCATTTGTTATAGTCATTCCCAAATACATGAACTGTGCTACATTTTCAAAGGATCTGTTAGCTATGTTTATGTCATGATTTTGCACTGCATTCTGCTGACAGTACAGCATCATATACTTAGTTTCTTCTGTGTTTACTTCTTGACCAACCTCCTTACTAGTGTCAATTAAAGTCTGTTTTTTTTCTTAACGGTATCTATATTATCACCCAGTAGACTGACACCATCAGCATACACCAAAAGCTGATGTGTCCCATTTAATTTCAGTCCCACCTGATTTTTCTGGACCTTTCTAACAGCACACTGCAAGGCTAAGTTTTTTATTTGCTAAAATCGGTAATAACATTGCAGATGCATGAAAATGAGGTGGGAGTGATATTAACACCACTTATTTTTTTACTCTGAAATTATGCATGGTACTAATCTTGGAAAAATATTAAGATCTGGTTAGGGAATAGTTTTACATAATGCAAAACAAGAATGTGGTGGACATCCAAACATTTTCTTCAGCTTCTGGTGTGACTGTTCCACCTAACAAATAACAGGAAATGTGAACTTTGGTATGGAGATCCTTTGTAAGTCAGTAATTACAAATATGGTGACTGCAAATTGTTGCAAATGTATGACAAACTCTGTTTTAAAAACAGTTCATCTGGTGGAGCAGAAATCTATGCAACAGGAAAGCAGGATTTATTAAATCTGCACAGAATTCCTTGTTATGCTTAAACTTTTCATGCATTTCTTAAACTCTTTCACTAAAAATTATACAAATAATAGTTGATCATCGAATCTGAAGGAAAGTTCTGTAAACTTGACACTATGTAATCGTGTGTGTGTGTGTGGGGGGGGGGCACAGTCCCTAAGGTCAAGTTGTAGAACATGCGACACAGAGAATGGTTCTTTCTGAACCAGGCAAATATGCTGACTTCTTGCAGTGCATTCAATGATAGAGGCATCCTGGCAGCAGCAAAGAGCAGACGTAACATTTCTAACAGATTACTGCTGTAACTGCCAATAGCAGAATGAGTCATTAGCGCTGAAAAACATGTGCTGTCAGGTGGTCTGATCTTGTCACTGCATATGTCGCATTAATAGTCAGTCTGTGTTAGAGGTGTCGATAGGCGGTCAACATTTATACTGAAAAGAAGTTCACTACTGAACAGCATGTTTATTGTCAAAACTTTAGCAAGGAAAAAACTTAGAGAAAATGTATCCATAAGTTTTGTTGTAAATAACCTGACTAGCCAATTCCTACAAAGTTGTGACTTTCCATGGTTGTGAAAAAGTGGTGTGTCACAGGTTCAGTGTGTGACATAAAGCAAAAGAAGAGGATTGTGCTGACTGAAGAAAAGGTTGCAGATATTGAGGCATGACTACAGATCAGTCCTCAAAAATTGTTAAGACGCTTAGCACAGGAAATCAGTGTTTTGCTACGATCTGCTTTCACAGCCACAAAATTAATCAAATTTCGTCCTTATAAAATATAAGTTGTGAGTGAGCTGAAACAACCAGATTATGCAGCAAGACTTCATTTTTGCAACTGGCTGCTGCAAAATGTGCACAATGGAATCACAGATCCACAGCTTCTGTTCATGATTGATGAAGCGTGGTTTAACGTTAGAGGTCATGTTAATGTACAAAATGTAAGAATATGGAATGATGAAAATCCTCAAACTATAAAGCAAGTGCTATTACATAGGGAAAAGGTGGGGGTGTGATGTGCTGTTAAGTCCGCATCAAATCATTGACCCCTCATTTTTCCATGAAACCATGAACTCTGACTGCTACATTAATGATGTACTGAACCCATTCTTCAATAAGATGACTGCTGAAGACAATATGGATATTTTCAGCAAGACAATGCTACAGCACATATGGCTAATGCAACCATGGTAACAATACATAAAGTGTCTGAAGACAGAATAATCAGCAAAGGACTGTGGCCTGCCAGATCTCAGTTTCTGCGATTTTTATCTTTGAGGAAACCTAGAGGGCAAACTCTACAAGAATAATCCTTGCAGTACTGAAGTTCTGCAGAATTAAATAACATGTGTAAATGGTTCAATTACAGTGAACAAACTTCAGAAAGAGTGGCATAATTTATTTATGTGATGTGAGGCATGTTTTACAAGCAAAAGGGAGTCACTTTCAGCACCTGTTATAAAGCACAGTAAGTTTGTGTTATCTTTTTACAGTATTCTTATAAATGTGTGCATGTACAGAAACTGATGTGAGGGACTCAGTGACATGACTGTACTCTCACTAGTGCAAAAGGGCACAGTAATTGCGGAGAAACGTTCCAACTGCTCTACGCTGCTGTCAGGTTTCCTCTACGGCTGAACACTCTGTATTTGTTCCCCATGCTACCTCAGAGTTTTGTTGACATCTCTCATACTTGAAAATGGAATGTGTAAAAATTTATGGGAATTGATTTCTTAGTTTTACATTAATTATGTAATAACATTAATATGTGGTGAAAAATGGCATACAGCTAAAAGTAAAAGTAAGGTTATCCCTGTACCAGGCTGTGAAGGCCCATAGGGTTGCGAGACGTTGAGGGTCCCACACTATCTAGACAATCGGCTCGAAGATGGCTGTAAGAGTGTCAGCCTTACGCGCCAGCCGTGCTTTACTCCCCAGGAAAATTATTTAATTAATTCCTGGTACTCATTTCTGTTAGAGGCTGAGTAAACCCCAGGGCCTAGTGCGGCTGGAAGGATTAGGTCAAATGAAAAAATCCAATGACCTCATTGGGACTTGAACCTGCAACCTTCCGGCTTGTAGCATAGCTAACAAGCTGAAAAATATGTACATAGCACCAACAATACATGTGCTTTTGATCATTAATGCCCTGAAGATTTTCAATTCATATATGACTGCTAATTTTCTTCTCATATACAGAGCATAAAGCTGATGACCATGAAAGAACATGCAGATACATTTTCATAAACTCACGTTCAGTTGACTGCCCCAACACATGGCTTCCCATGTCAGCAATGAGTTCAAATATTCTTTGGGACAATTTAGTTTCATTTACTTGTATATGACATCACTATCAAGAAACAGTAAAGTGAATGTGTTTTTTCTCTGTAACTTCTGTTCATAAAATTTTGCACTCAGATAACTGACTAAGTGCAGAAATGCATGGAGGTTTCTATTCAAAACATCTCTTACTGCTACATTGTTTTAACCAAAACTGAAACAGGTAAACAAATTTTTGCAGAATGACCAGCATCAGGCTTCATTCTCTTGAGTGATTCCAGAGTTGTTGAAGAATGAGATGGTTATGCCAGCAGGAACATTTTTGCAACTTTTCATTGTGGTTCACCCAACCTCCTATCCAAAGGTACCAGGGGCTGTTTCACCAGTGGTAAAGCAGCAAGGGTGTTAAGCTAACCACTCACCTCCAGCCAGTGCCGAGGTCAAGAAAATGTTGATCTATACATCCACTACCCATACACCTTCATGGCATATTGCTTAAGTAGTTAAGCAGAGAGAAAACTTTACCTTTACCTTCATTGTGAACATAAAACTGAGGGATACTGATGCATGATAAACGCATCTACATAACAAAATTTGGATTGTTTCAGTGAATCATAGTCTCCAGTTCCATCATAGACCTTTCCTGCATACCTCTAAAGATGGCATTCAATTCAAAACTTANCACGGTGCCAAATCCCAGAAGACTGCTTTCTTCATAGTCACCGCCGTGAAAGCCTCAAATCTTGCTTAATTTATATGGTGTGAAGTCATACTTCTTGTAACGTATTATTAACAAATATGAAAATAACCATGCAATTCATCTTCAGTATTCTACAATAACAGAACACCTAACAACAGAAACTATCATTCTGCATGGAAGGTGGCAGTGACAGTGCAAATAACAGTTTCAAGAACTGCTGTTCCTAAACACAATTCTTAAGCCTGACATCCTGACAACACTACTATAATCTGATTCAGAAACAATGTAGCATGTAGTTGAGTACAAGGGTTCATGCCAAAATCAGCAAATTCAATTGGCACATTCTAAACTATTGCTTTTAACGAGCGCTGTGCTTCTGATAAAGACCGTTAAACACGACAGTGTTAGCAGATTTAAAGTTCATAATCTTCAATTTTCAGGAAATGTTAATTACCTGACAGGCACAAACCACATTGCCTGGTACAAAAACTAAAATCTTCTTAACAAACCACATCTGAGTATAAAGTAAAAAGAGTGATATCAAGCAATCTCATTTGTACTTACACAATTTAACTGAGTTCATAACACAAACTTCCAGTCACGGTATGAGATCATTAATAACTAGCATTTCTTATTGGTATATTAGTGCCTTACTACAATCTAATAAATTCAAGGTTATCCCACAGGCTGAGCCATATCTTTTAATATAAGCACACATGCTGGGAAGCTTTATACCAGCTGTTTCCATCATCAGGAAGGACAATTTCAATTTGCCAGTTAAATTGTTCCACGCTAAAAAAAGTTCAGATATCGTGGCACCTAAGGTCATCAGAAAGTTGTCTGGTTACAAGACCAATAATATTACAGTAAATTTAAAATACCCAACAAAAGCTTGCATATGCAAGTACAACAGTCTTCATACATACAAATAAGACAATACAAGTATACAGCGTGTACTTAACCAGCACATTTGGCAGAACATATATAAGAAATGCAGACATCTGGGTTCAAGTATTTTAGAGTACTTATTCAGATATGCTGAAAAAGCATTTATGTTCATGTGCACACACCCACACACACATACAGATCTATAAATTAAAGTGTAACAATGATGCATTCAATTATTATCAAGAATAAGGGACTCTAGAAATCAACATATGTGCTTAGAAAACCATTTATGATATATTCATGCCTTTTTATAAATTAGTATGTTGTCTGAGATAATAATTACACTATTTGCACAAAGAATTCAATATTATATCTCAGTTTAGGACCGACTGACACCGGCCTATCTTCTTGTCATTATCTAAATTCTTCTGTTTTCTGAAATTCATATTAAACATGACACTAGAGTTGTATTCAAATGAAAAGGAAACATGCTATGAATGGCATTGTGGTGGCAGTTCACTGCGATTAAGATATAGTGGAACCTCGCTTAATGAGCACCTCTCATAACGAGTAATTCGCATAACGAGCAAAACAAATTGTAAAAAAAATGACTCGCTTAACGAGCGACATTTCGCATGAGTGACGAGAGGGGAAGTCCCGGATTGTGCACTTGCTAAATCAGTCTGTGTTTAGCACTCGTTCCGCTAGCATCTCAGTGTCGCTTGTGATCACACATTTTTCGTCGTCATCGTCGTCACTGGCATGACAGCCCTTTGTGAGCCTTGGCTTTCCTCAGGATTGCTCGCCATTCTTCTCTATCCGATGCTACATTCCTCCAGTTCTTTACACCCACAATTCTTATGTCCTACCACACATATTCTTCCCATCTTAACCTTGGTCTTCCCACTCTCCTATTTCCTTCTGTTTCTGTTTTCAGACATATTATTTGTGATTTTTTTTGTGCAAAGTTTAATAACCCTCGCAAAAATGTCCCCAAAGAAAAAGCCACAAAAAGACAGCCATAAGAGAATAAAAATAACCATAGAAATGAAACGTAAAATCATTGAAAAGCGAGAACAAGGTGTGAGCGGGGCTGATCTAGCACGCACATACAATCAGTCTACATCAATGATTTGCAAGATTTGGAGTTGCATTGTGTTTCACAGCAAGAAGTTGTGGAGGAGAGTTTGTCAGAGGAGGAAGAGGAGGTAACAGCAAAGCAACAATCTTCTGGAGCAATAAGAGAAATGCTGAAAGCATGGAAAACTGCTGCATCGTACATTGAGAAGCATCACCCTAATAAGGCAGTGGCTGTGCGCACTACAAATTTATTTAATGATAATGCTGTGTCACATTTTCACCAAATTTTGAAGCGTCAGCTAAAACAAATGTCTCTAGGCAGCTTTCTAGTAAAAAAGAATAAGATATGTATCATAAATAATAAACTAATTATCTTTATTTTTTCTTCTGCAAATTGAATTCACATTCCAGGTTCATTCCTTCCACATAGAAGAAAAGATGAAGATGAATCACGCTCCTTAACAATGTATTCTTTGAATAAACGTTATACATATAATTTTTTTCAGTATTTTTTCGGCATGGAACATATTATCGTATTTTACATTAATTTATATGGGAAAAACTGTTTCGGTTAATGAGTGTGTCGCATTACGAGTAAGATTCTGGAATGAATTATGCTCATTAAGCGAGATTCCACTGTAATTTACTATTTAGTTTAATTTTGGAAAATGGCAGATTTTTTACATCAAAACAAATACTTCAGTGGTTTTGTAAAGTATATACAAGTGAAGCAATGACAACTTGTGATCACAGCACAAGCTTCCAAGCCTTATACTGTATATATTATTTTTTATATATAGTTAGTGAAAGCGCTGTAATTTACAAACAGTACTTACACACATGTTGTGTGTCCAATGGCAGATTAAGAAGAGCTCTGAAGAAAGGTAATACAGAATGTGCTGTGGGAGGTATATGTGGGGTAAACAGTCCAACGCTAATAAAATTCCTCAAAACATGTTATATGAATGTCAAGCCATAAAGCTTCTCTTTATGCCAGAGTTACTACATTTGTTGTAAGAACCTTAACAGGAAGCATCCAGACTGTAATTAAATGTAAGGAAAATGCATAATTGATATGAAATTGAATGATGCTTGTGAATGACTTGCATGGTGGTTGGTGACAACAAAGCAACCATGAACTTCACATTTTATCAAAATGAGTGGAAAATCAAAAAAAAAAATAACCACTTTTGTTTGTAATGGTACATTTGCACAACTCCCCTCCAGTCATTCTTTCATGTCAAGTAGACAGCCTTTACTTGGAAGTCTATAAAGATGAAAAACTTCAGAGCAATTCACAGCAAAGTGTTTTCAAATGGAAATCTTTATTTTCACACTCCAGCACAAAACACTCATAAAATATGTGATACACTGAAGCTAATAACTGATTTTCTTGTCAGAAGGCCCCAAGATAATGACAGTAAATGCTGACCATGAGCTTCACCTCAGAAAGACAGAGAAAGAACAAGCATCAATGAGGTTTCAACACTCGCAAAGAGAGCAACTATTATGCATTCACTTTTGATTTATAAAAGGCATTATCATTTCCTGTTCTAAGCATGTCAGTGGTATTTTAAAAAGAAATTCATATGACTGTAGTCTTGGTGTTCACAACCTTGTCAACAGCATGACATACATGTATGTCTAGGACAAAACCTAGGCATCATGATGATCAAAAGAAATGGCTACTTCTTTGCTACTACATCTGAAAAGAATATGAAAAATATAAAATCACACTGTTGGTGTCAGTGACATCTGTATAGCCAGAATTGTAAGATAAAAATCACTTTAATGTGAAAGAGAATGGCAAGTGATCTATACAGTAACATCAGTGTTGTTGACCACAAATTCTGTGGTAAATCACTTATATGCTTTTGCAAACCTAAACTCATCTTCAAGAGACACCATTAAGCATGTACCACCTGACTGCTACCAAATAACTGAAAATGCACAAAGGAAGAATACCGTGACGTGGACGGCGCAACAGGAAGTAGGGGTCACGTGAACTCTGCGTTCGCGCAACTCTCAGTAAACACCCCTCCCTGCTAGGCTGTGACATCACACAACAGGCGAGTCTGTGCAGTGACTATTGCTAGGCAATGCGTAGGTAGAAACACCTGACAACAATACCTGATATCTATGGTCAAGCAGCAATGTGTTCTCTATGTTGTCTGTGCTGAGCCTTGTTATGTTGGCAACTCTAAAATACTCAAATATAATGTTAGAGTTGGCAACATCATAGTAAACAATTTAAGAACTAGGTTATTTCTTGTTACCTAATGGATGTTTACTGTTATGTGTAACTACAGTTACGTGTGTAACAACAGTATCTTTATATTGTTGTGTTACTATGGTTATAAGCCTGTATGTGTATATAAGCCGTACTTCTGTATCAAATCTCAGAACCCCGTGTGGAGGCGGGGTCGAATACCACCACCGTGACCCTGCGAGTCATAGGAGGCGATGAAAAGGGAAGTCTCGATTCTGAGACAGTAAAATATGGTCGCGAGTCCCAAGGGACTCGGACCCAAGAAAGACTGCGCTGGCAAGGGCCAGCAGCATACACAAAAGACAGACCCGTCCTCTCGTCAGAGAAGGCGCCCCACAGAAACAAGACCGTAACTGTCAAATGATATAATTAATATCTGGTCAGACTTACTGACTGACTGACTGACCGTCAGTCGCAATGTGACTTTGACTTTGACAAATCTCAGAGTCTTAATAAAGCAGGAGTAGAGTGAACACTGATTCTCACTTACCATTCGATCCACGTGAAAGTAACAAAAATAACAGGTTATGGGCCCAGGATCGTATCATTGATAAGTGTAAAAAGTATAGAAGTGAAAAATGTTATTTAAAAGTGATCCTTTGGACTGACGCCGCTATCAAGACAAAGAAACAAGTTTCATCATGGCCACTTCGAAGCCCTTCGCGAATACTGATAGGCTCAAAGGACGCAAAAATTATAGAGAATGGTGCTTTGATATTCAAAATATTCTAGTGATTGAAACTGTGTGGTCAGCAGTCGAAGGGTATTCTGCAGAAGACACAACGCCTGTATCCATCAAGAAACAAAAGGACGAGAAAGCAAGAGCCATCATTTGTCTGACACTGGAGCCCCAAGTTAAATCTTACGTCGTCCAGACAACAATAGCAAAGGAAGCCTGGGACACATTGGAAAGAACATTCAAAGATCAGGGAATCAATAGTTGGATAAGTACTTTAACTGATTTGTGCTCTTTGAAACTTGAGGACTACAAAAGCATGCAGGAATATGTTAATGCCTTCATGTCAATAAATCTCAGACTAGTCTCAATGGACAAAAAAATAGATGAGCTATTAGCTGCATTAATGTTAAAGGGTTTAACTAAAGAGTATTATCCCATGCGTATGGCGCTTGAAAACTCCAACGTAACTCTGACTAGTGAGCTCATTAAATCTAAGTTATTACAAGACACCGAATTTGGTAAAAATGCAAATTCAGATTCAGCCTTAATGTCCAAAGATAAGATTAAACGTAAACCAGCAAAATGTCAAATTTGTGGTAAGCTAGGCCACACAAACAAAAACTGTTGGTTCAAAGATAAGGATAAGGCAAACAATAAGAATCATAACAATCAGCATAGGCAAAAATTTAAGAGCAATCAGTCTTCTAAATCAGTTCATAATACTGATGAAAATAAAGAAGGATCAGATCACAGGTGTAATGAAAATAAATGGAAAAATAAGACCAGTAAAAGATCCATGGATATGGTGTCTGCCCATCATGTTAAAGTTAAAGAGAACACTTGGGTAATAGACTCTGGTGCTTCACACCATATGACCAGAAATAAGACTATTTTGCAAAATTATAAAACACATGATTCTAAGGAACATGAAGTAACCCGTGCTGATGATGTGTTAACTAGTGCAGGTTTTGGTGATGTAAACCTTCTGAATGACAATTATAGCCATATCTCAGATGTATTGCATGTACCCAGATTGTCTACAAATTTGTTGTCTGTAAACTCAATTGTAAATAAGGGTACAATTGTGTTATTCACCAAAGACTGTTGCAAGTTATATGATTCTGATGAATTTCAGGTAAGAAGCAAAGTTCTTACCAAAGCATATCCCGAAAATGGGATTTATTGTTTAAATACCAAAGTTAACATGACCCAATCTGCAAATATAGCAACTAAAGATAAGATTAATACCAAAAAGAAAAATCACAAATGTGAAAAATCTTGTATTAATACTGTAAAGAATGAACAAGTTGCAAGTACCCAGCAAGTTGATGAACAACTGTTGTGGCATAGGC